AACCTCTCGTCAATATGCGTTTTTTGCATTGCATTACTGCAAAAAACGCATAAAAACGCATAAAAAGTATTCAAAAATCAACATGGAAACAGAAAATTGCCCCGAAAAATAAACTCTATTCATCAATGCTTAAAATGTAGAAATCGAACGAATAAGGGTATATACAAAATAATATGCAGTGTTCGTAAGTAAAACATAGGCGTATTTCAACAGTGATGCAAAAAAGCCAAAAAAAGTAATGCTACAACTTGGATGCACCTTTTTCCGAAGCAAGATAATGCTACATTTACGCTAGCAATTTCTTGGCGCCCGCAATAAACCATCCAGTTTACTGTTTAATAGCTGACCGAACAGTACGAAATTGGCCATTATGCCAGGTGGTTATTTTTGTATGTAACAGACCGATCTGTATTTGACGACCATCCTGGAAATCTCCTGTTCATGCCGACGAAACTCTTACGATAAAAATTCCCAAAACTGCTGAGAATGTTCCGACAATCAGTGGGGCGCCTTGATGTTAATGCGCGCTGTTTGGATCAAGCGTGGCTCCGTTGCAGTATTCCGCATTTGTCCGACGCATGCGCTACCTTCGCACAGTTTCGTTTCGTCAGTCCCACTCGCAGCCTAATTGGATTTGAAATATTATGGTTAATAATGCTTTTCTCTTTCTTTTCCAATTGAAAGCAAACGCCTAAATGCATTTCGGTGCAGTTAAGTTTGAGTGTAAAATATAGAGGTTTAACGTTTGTCTCACCGTTCATACATAATTCATGAAAGATTAATCTCAGCAACTGATATGTACGACTACCGATACACGACGGCAGTCTACAACAGCATTGTCAGCCAAATGTCACTTGCCGCTGCTTGCAAGCTTTTTATCTGCTTTTTTCCTTTACATTTAGCTGCACCCAGCAACCATTCATTTCTTAGCAGTGATGCGCTACACCAAAAGCCGGCCGCCGAAACAATTCCAGCTGCTTTCACGGAAATGACCAGCTATTTGTATCCTCCAGATACGCCTTCCAGAAATCTAGCAACGGATGTGTCACATGCAGGATTCGCAGAAAACATCGGAATTGATGTTCTCAATTTTGAAATCACGCCTTATTATCATCAGATGGATCGGCTCTTTGATGACTGGTTGCAAACAATCGACAATCCCGATCAGAGTCTAGTCTCGAATGAGAACCTTGCCAATGAACAAGGCATCATGGACTTTGAGGCCACGCTTCTCGCAGCCGAGCCGGATGCTGCCCAAGCTGCAGCTACAACCTCCGATGTTCACGCAGGGCAAACAAAACTGTGGAACTCGAGACTCGATAGCGACACAATTTCAGCTTTTATTTCGAAAAACGCTCAATTCAGTGAACTGCAGCCGGCTGCTGATTTGGAGCAGACGAAGCACATTCAGCAGAAGCCTGTCACCTTCTGTGGCAAAACAGCGATGCTCAACAATCCTCTTCTTACTTACGCTACAGCACAGCTCCCTTCAGATCCAATGGATATATTCAGAACCAACCGTGGATCCAGAGATCTCGCTTCGATTTCTTCCACTGAGTTTAATAGCAAATCACTTTCAACACTTTTGCAAAGCCCCACCACTGATAAACTCGGAACAGATGCAACATGCCTGCACGGTTCCGCCAGCGATTCAGGTGCATGCTCTATGCCAAGATCCGTCGATTCAGAACTTCCTACAGATCCATGCACATCACATTGCGCTACTGGTGGTGCGACAGTATCAGAACTTTTTATCGTGAGAAGTTCTGCTGCTTGTAATCCAGATACATCAGACAAATACTTCGTCAACAGACTGCCAGAAGGAAAATCAAAACTTCGTGCTTTGCTCTGCTCTAACCCGCTTCCTCCTGTCGTGAATGATGTACCAATTGGTAAACCGAGTATGACCGCACCAGTACACTTTATCACCAAACAATCGACCAGTTCCAAAAAACTAGGCAAAAAACTATCCATTTCTCAGTCAGCTCCTACCCAAAACTCAGTTCGAACTGGGTTAACCACAGTTGCATCGGTCGGGCTCATCTGCACTGCGCAGCCCTCAACAAGCAATAGCACGAAATCAACCAAATGGTTCACATGCGGAAGATGTGGCAAGCTATTTCTTGCCTACGTCGTTTTCAAAAAACATCTTAACAGCCATAACAAGAAAGGCGAATATCGATGCAACTGGCCTGAGTGCGGCATTCTCGAAACAGGCTACAGGCGCCTTTCACGACACTATGTGGAACATTTGTCGGGGAGCGATTTGTACCCATGTGACACTTGCGGTAAAGTTTACGACAGATGGTGTGCTTTGACCATGCACAAGCAAGCAGTGCATACGAAAGGAGGTGAATTTTGTTCCCGGAATTAACAGTATTTTTGAGACTTAAGGTTAGCCGTTAGCCATTAAATTTCGGCAAGCAGCAAGGAGGTGCTCCTCTAAAAAATGCTCCGCACTGTTCGAGAAAAATATGCTCAAGTTTATACTAGTTGAAGTGAAAACCCACCACATCATAAGATTAGCATAGCAGCATACTGGTCAAAGTAATCGTCCACTGGCAAGGCTGTCCATAGTCTTTTGCCCTGAACTTCTCCAGGCGATCAGGAACTAACTGTCGGCTGCCTCACCTCTCTAGCATTAGTACCAACTTCTCATCGAAACAAATTGTGAAAAAATTTGTTTTCTCAGCTGATGTCCTGTACCATCAATCTTCAGTCTGACTGTAGCGCAACTTAGAATTGCAATACACCAGTGACTGTTGGGAATACATTGATATTTTGTTAAGCTATTGCAAACAGCAGCATTCCTCCTTGCCACTGACGTAACTAGTAAGTCCTCTTTCTCCATTTTCAACTTTTCTCATCCATACAGTTCTACAGAGATCTTCATTTTCATTTCCCATCATACAAGCGGTCTTTCCTGTGCCCTTCTGACGCTGCTTGGACACCACTCAATGTTAGTTAGTAGTCTTGCAACATGACCAGCCTAACTCTTCTTCCTACAACTGGAGACTAGAATGCAGTACTTCACTGGAAATTTGCGCAGTTCATTGATACTTGCCATGATTCGCCAGATGATGACTGTTTTTTTCACACTAAATGTGATGCTAAGCGATTTACTTGCAAACAGCAGAAATAAGCCAGGCTGGAACGCACGAGGCTTGCCAGTGCGATCACGCGTTTTTGCACCAAACTCGCATGTCCCTAATAATAGGAATGATCTTTGCGCGTTAGTCTAATACTTGGGCTCATACTGGCCCTTCCCGACATGCAGAGGAGCAAAGGCGTCGGCAGCTGCACAAGCGTGCGCGGCGGCTGAATTTGAAATCTTTAACTCGTACATGCACAGAGAATGTTTCTGCAAAGTTTCAAGTTTGTATCTTGCCCGGTTCGAAAAATCGTTTCCCGTCAAAGAAATCTTCATGTTCGAGTATTTTAACTAGGCAATCAAGCAAGCTCTGGCGCCAAAATTTTGCTGGTGGTTTCCCAGTCAAGTGCCATCCCAGGACTATGGCACCAACCCTCACGCAAGTTTGGGGCCCGTGTACGAGAGGGTGAAAGTTTGGCGAGAAAATTGCTAACTCGAGGACTAGAAAAGATAAAAAGCTGAAATATTGAGGTTATGTTCCCCGTCCAAATATAACCCAAAGATTTCAAATTCAGCCCCCAGGTGTGCGTGGTTCCCGTGTACGGTCTCGTGAGTGTTTCTGGCGCGAAAATCGCTAACATGGGAATCAGAAAAGCCAAGAGGCTGAAATTTTCAGGGAATGTTCCCAGCACATATACAATTTAAAGTTATCGAATTCAGGCCCCAGGAATGCGTGGTTCTGACGTACGGCCCCGTGAAATTTCCTGAGAAAAAAACGGCTAACTCGGGGACGAGGAAAGCTGGGAGGCTGAAATTTTAAAGAGCTGTTCAAAACCCATGTAGAACTTAAAGTTATCAAATCCAGCCTCCAAGCATGTGCACTTCTCACGTACGGCTTTTTGGCGGGGAAGTGGCCAACTCGGGAACCAGAAAAGTTGGAACGCTGAGGGTTTAGAAGAATACTCCCCGTCCAAATACGACTTAAAGGTTTCGAATTCAGCCTCCAGTTACGCGTGGTTTTCGTGTGCGGGCACTTAAATTTTTGGCGGGAAGATTACTCACTAAGCAGAGGGTCATTTCCAAAAAACGACCGCTAAATGGGAATTGTTTGTTTACTTTTACGCAAAATTTACGATGATTTAAGGTATTGAACGCACGAGGTAGGTGTGAAGAAACAACCGTTCATGTAGTTAACCTAAGTAGTTCAAGTTTGGTGCAAAAGTGCACGATCGCACCGACTCGCCTGATGTTGTTCCAGCCTGGGTTTCGGCAAATGCTCGCTTTTTGAAAAAATGCAGATTTCCAGTCCACTAAAAAGTAGAAGCGTTGCTCAAGCGGTCGTTTGTCAAAAAATCCAAGCGTGCAAATGAACTGAACGTTCATTTACATATTTGGATGAGGGCGGTCGTCCGCTGCAAAACGCACTCGTTTCTGATTTTGCGGCATAGTTGAGAATTTCTCACGCCCACCCAGGGGGAATTCCACCCACAAGCTGAATTAAGACCGCACTTGAAAGTAAAATATCCCAGCGAATTTTCAGCCTCGCAGCTTATCCAATAAGCGAAATATCCACTTAGCTACAAATATCTTTGAAGTACCCATCGCGCAAGTGAAAAACGGTACTCATTTTAGGTATGCGATTTCCCATATGGGTGACAATCGAGCTAGCACGGTACCAAGTTATAAACTTTGACGTGATCGTACGCACTGCACAAGTGTGCTTGACAGCTAAATTCGAATTTTTAGCTCGCACACGCACAGAGAATATCTCTGCAAAGTTAGAGCTTTGTATCTTGCCCGGTTCGCAAAATCGTTTCCCGTCAAAGAAATCTGCACATTTTTTCGGGGGTAAGTGCGCGAAGTCTAGGCGCGTGTGGGGAAAGATCTTAAAACGAGAGGGTGGTAAGAACATACACCCAAGATTTCAGCCTCCCGGCTTTCCTGGATGCTGAAATGAAAGTGGATGACAAAATGCACTGGCTTCCGAACACACACACACACCAACACAAACAGCCTCTTGACAATATGCGTTTTTGCTGACTGTAGCAGCGCTGTAGCGCTGCACAGCAAAAATGCATAAAAATGGAGTTTTAAAGTACCGATCTCACAGCTGACGCTAACACCTATTTTGTAACCAGATCAAGGTAATCAACGCTTCTGCTTATCTCCATGCACAACCTGCTATTCTGTTGTACTGTTTGATTCCAGTAGGTATAACTGTTCATAAGCTCAACGGGCTAATTCCCGAGTATCACACAGAACTGGGCAAATACGCATTCTTTATCCGCTTTTTCTTTTTTCCGTAGATTTAAAGTTCCATTTCTTTCATACTTGTCACAAGTTTATTTAACAGACTCCGTGAAATTTACAGATAATCTGTAATAAGCAGAACAATTCCTGGTGAAAATAAGCATTTGGATTATTTCACCGCCAATACAAATCTCTCTGCTGCTCGAGTTTCACACAAAACTGTTTCAGAGTACTTCTGGAAGAAATCTCACTGGTTAAGCTAAAATGAATTATACCGGAACTGCTTCGGGGTTAACCTGAGCTATGAGTTTTGCCTAGCTATTTAATGCCACAAATAGTGAACCGATTGTATTTCATGCCTCTTCAGTATGGAACAGCTGCTGACATTGTGCTATCCGGCGCCAAGCAAAAAATGTCTACCGAACTTGTAACTGTGCTGCTTGAAATGCCGCATACTCCTCAAATTTATCACTGAACTACTAGCTGCACTGACCATCCAAAACCTTCTGAGCACTAGCAACTTAAATTATTACATTTTCAAATCAGGGTACTCCTCTCCTCTATCCCTTTATCACCCGCTCTCCCCTTTTCCTTCTTCTCTCCCTTCCGCTATCTCCCCTCTCCTGCCCTCAAAAAATATAAGAAATTCACTTCCGGAACAGTCAATTTCAGATCGGTTTTTGTGTGCTGTCCCAGAATGCAACTGCAATTACAAGACAATGGTCGGGCTGAGCAACCATGTCAGAGAAAAACATCCGGAGAAGACGTTTAACTGCTCAAAATGTGACAGAGTGTACGCCTTCGAAAATCAGCTGGAAAAGCACAAATGTAAGTGATCTAACTAAGGTTCAAACTTTTTGACCGATTCAAAACTTGCAAAGTTTCAACCATAACTCGTGAACAAGCACGAAAACATCAAAATTTCCAAAAGGCAGGATCATTTAGAAGGAAAATTTGGACAGCAGCGACTACGGGAATGCATCCAAGCACAAGTATGCTTATATAAAAGATCCGTGCTTTGAGTGACGTGCTTGTAGCTATTGCCGGCTACTGTTGTGTATGCGCGTCAGATCTTCGGAGGCTATTACGAGCTCGTTTTTTCCTTCACAAATACCGCTTGTTCACGAGTTATTATGCATTTTTGCCGTGCAGTGCTAGAGCGCTGCAACAGGCAGCAAAAACGCATACTGCAACGACCTTGTCAATGCGTGTGTATGTGTGTTTGTGTGTGTTCGTCTGTCCGGGTGTTTCAACTCGCCAACCACGCAAGCTTTGAAGCTGAGATTTTGCCAGTGTGTTCCCCAGCCAAGTGCCACCCCAGGACCGTGGTATCAACTCTTACGCACGTCTGAGCCCCGCTTACGAGCACGTGGAAGTTTTGGCGCGAAAACTGCTAACTCCAGAACGAGAAAAGCTAGAAAGCTGGAACCTTGGGGGAATGTTCCCTGCCCATCTATGACAAAAAGATTTCAAATTCAACTGCTCAGGTGTGCCCGGGCTTACGTACGGGCACGTGAAAATTATAGCGGGAAAACTCATAACTTAAAGATAAGAAAAGCTAGAAAGTTGAAACATTGGGGGAATATTCCCTACTCATGCACGACCAAAAGTTTTCAAACTCAGCTCCATAAGACCGATCGGGGCCCACGCACGAGCACTTGAATATTTTTGGCGTGAAAATTACTCGCCCGAGGACGGGAGAAGCTGGAAAGCTGAAACTTTAAAGGAATGCTCCCTACTCATATATGAGCAAAATCAGGTGGTTAAAAGCGCCCGAACTCACATACGAGCGCGTGGAAGTTTTGGCGCGAAAATCACTAACCCGGGGACGAAGAAAGCTAAAAAGCTGAAAATTAAGGTAATGTCCCCTATTTATGTATGACCAAAAGATTTTAAATTCAGCTCCTGAAAACCATCCGGTACTCACGCACAGACACGTGAAAATTTTGATAAAAAAACTGTTAACTCGGGAACAGTAAAAGCTGAAGGCTTTAATTTTAAGGGAATGTTTCCTACTTATGTGCAGCTAAAAG